TGTGTGTGTGTGTGTGTGATCACTGGTTCACTCTAATATGTTTATTATTTTTTGGTGTAAATATTGCCTTCGCCTGTGACATACACCAATTCCTCAGCGTCCATAGTTATACCCAAACTTCTTCTTGGTCTCGTTAGAGGCAAAAATAATATACCAAGCGCAAATGCTCAAACATTTTGTAAAAAGTTCTTGGCATGATAACACAATGATGTACCCACATTTTATTTTTGTAAAATGTGGCTTCGGCCAAGTAGACACAAAAATGTTCAACACTCGTGGTTATATCCAAACTTCCTCAAGGGCTCGACAGAAACAAGATAATATTTAGAAGACAAATGCTCATTAATTTTATTGTAAAAATTTGTTCCGTACATGGCTCATCAAAAGATGATATAGATTTTATCACTTTACTTTTTGTTAAATTGTAAAACGTTGTCTTGGCCTTGCAGATACATACACCAACTCCTAAACGCCCATGGTTACACCCAAACTTCATCAAGGGCTTGATACAATCAATGCAAATATGTGTTTCGAATACTTATGTTAATAAACGACTGTATAAATTCGTTATGGTCATATCCCATCACAACATAACGCACCCACAATGACATTTCTTTTTGTAAAATGATGCCACCGCCTGGCAGATAGATCTACACCAGACAACTCCTAGACACTAGTGCTGGGCGGCTAGGTTCCCGATTATTGAAAACTAGGAATCGTAGGAATCGACTCCGATCCCAATTACTTACTTTCTAATGATGTGATTTCTTCCGGTGGTTCCCTTGTCGGCTCCGAACATCTTCAGGATTTAGGGTAACCTTGATTTCGGAAAACTCAGAAGCATCAACTTTTATTTTTCAAAAATACATTCTTTTTAAAAAGAAGATTTTAATGATTAAAGTTACTGGCAACCGTTGGGTCTCGTGAAAGGGAACTTTTCTTCAGTTGCATTAGTCGTGGGAATCGGTTCCGGAATTGATTCCATGCCCAGCTCTACTAAACACCCATCGTTAGGTCCAAAATTTCCTCAGGAACACGATATAATCAATACAAAATTATGTTCTTAAAACTAATGCCCATAAATTATTGCAAAACGTGTTATGTGCATGGCTCATCACAATATTATTTTGATGCACTTGTAGATCTTTTGGTAAAATGGTGCAATGAAGACCACCCTTTTGAAAGGCATTATCTGTAGTTTCATAATTGGGTTCAACAATACTCTTGTGTCCTATCAAGCTTAAAATGAACATAATCTGCCGTTTCATGGTGAGGTTGAAAAGAGAATTAGTGTCCAATGTTCAACCATTACTCTTAAGTGCTATAAAGCTTATTGTAATAACGCATTATAAGATAAGCCGTTTCAAAATGTGTTTAGAAAGGACAGCATTCCATTAATTTACTAGATCTATGTCTCATGAGTGGCAACGGTCGTAGCAGCTCCGTCAGTACTTCGTTGTACATTGTACTTGTGATGACGGTGGCAGAAACGAACAATGGCTCGTGCGTGCGTGTGTGTGTGTGTGTCTGTGTGTGTGTGTGTGT